TAAATATTTCTGGATCCACTTTGAGTGCAACCCCTCTAAAGATTGAACTCACTATTAAATGTAACTAACTTAATTTAAATTTAAATTCAACCAATAAGGTTAACGCTTAGTACAATTCCAGCTTCCTATAGGGCAATTTAAAATTTCTAATTAAAAACTTTAAACTTTTGATACACATTAAAACTAATCGATCCAAAAATAGCCAAAAATATGATAATTAAATTAGACATTTCATTACCATAAGAGCTGTAACACTTATTGTCATGCGTTTGTGACAGAATGCCCAGAGAAGCAGTAAGTTCGTCTTCGATCCCGAGTCTTCTAGAGATCCAGAAGTGTACTTGAGTGTTGAACCTGTCGAAGAAGGTTAATTTCAAAATCAACACGTAACAGTTTATTGTCCCCCCTTAAGTTATCAAACGAAGAGAGACTCACTTCATCAATAAGATATAGAAGGCGTAGATGATTAGCATGCTTATCGATTCGTACCACGTGACGGTGCTATCATAAATAATCTAAAAAAATTAAATAAATAATCGGGACGTCAGCTGTCTCCAAAGGCTTCTTAATCAAATAATGACCCTAATACTCACAAGAATTAAGACCACTACTGTGAATGAATAAAAGACGGAATCACGGATAATTGGCCACCATGACAAATTAACTTCCTGCAAAGAAAGATTTTCTTTATTGTATGGTGAGGAATGAGAACCAGCTCATTGAATATGCAAGAAAAAAAATTTGCATTTTTCATAAAATTCTTTATAATTTGTAATTATAAAAAGATGCAGTCTACTTCTGACTTTCTAAAGAGGTCATTTGCATAAGAAAAATTAAGTTTTATGTATCAAAAAAGAAAAAAAAAAAAGGAATTTACTTACTCTTCCAGAAAATATTCCGCATATTCCGATGACAAATAAAACATTAAAAACTGCAGATCCCACTATTGTCCCTGTTCCTACGTCACCTTTTGCCACGAGGACACCTTTGCAAAGAAAGATTTGAATAAATTATTAAAATACGGAAAATTACTCAATTATTTTTTTAAATATTAAAAAGAAAAAGAACGTGGAAAATGTTTAATCTTCCTGATTTCCAATTGGATAAATCTTGCTTCTTTTTCATATTTTAGTTCTCTCTACCATGTGGGCATTAGAGGACCTTTTTGCTCATGCCCATCGTGGGTTCGGTCCAAGGTCTAGAATAGGTTCGACCAGGCTCGCCGGGTGGTGAGGAAGGGGCACGAAATATCGGGACAAACCACCCCTCCCGAAAAATTCCTGGGATTGCTAGCCCAGATACGATTCCGGGTCCTCCAGAGCGTAAACTGACACCTGACAAGTCCCAGATCGTCTACGAATGTGAGTCGTCCTTTGCATGATACGTAAGATAAAACTATATAAAAATTGATATGTTGTCTTAAAGAATGATTGGCTGAAAAAATTTAAATGTACGCCTACTTCTACCGTTTTAAATATTCGTCAACCAATCATCTTTAATTAATCAGAAAGCCATTCAAACTCGATATCTTACGTATATTACAGAAGGCCGCCTGTTCACGAGAAAAGTTTATCACTATTCTAATTTTAATTATTTTTTTAAAGTAATTAAATTTACTTGAGATGAAATATACTTTAAAAACAGCATTTTTATAGATTTTTTTTGTTTAGATTTAAAATGAATTAAACGCAAAAATTATATTTCGATTAATCGTAATTTGCAGCTACATATTCTTTAAATTCCTTCTCTGGAGTATAATCACGGTTAAATTTACTGATTATACGGATAACGATTTCAAACCGTATAATTTTTCGAGGGATTTAAGTCAATGACAGAGGATGATTGCCGTATTACAGGATTATTCGTTATTTATGATCACAATGGGTTCTTTTTCTTCATCGATATCAACTTCTACACCTCCGGTGTTGTTAACCTAAATCTCTCTTGCTTATCAAGGACCACTAAGAGGGGAGCAAAACTATAAGAAAGACTTTGCTTATTAGCTTCATGGGGCCCAGGCAAATTTGAATTAAGAGGTTCGATGTGCAGTGTTGACTTCAGACAGTTTTTTTTCGGCGGAAATTTTTTTGGAGAAATATTTTCTCATAAAAGATTGGTTTCAGGCCCCTGTTGGTGGGGCCTCCAGGCAATTGCCCTTTATTGCCCATAGGATAACGCATCACCGGAGCAAATTGCCCTGGGCCCCGAGGAACTTTTTCGTTTACATCCTTATTGCTAGAGCCCCTGATATGATATGCATTTTGCCGCAGGCCCGTTGACAAATGGAAGTCCCTGCTTATCAGTATTATATTGATTAATGTAGCAAAATCCACTCGTTTCTCTATTCGTGAAGTGCTGTAGAGTTTTATAAGATATTAAAGTTAATTCTAGATTTATAGGCATAATGAGGCAGCCGGGTGATGTGGGGCCCGACGTATCCAGGACAGACCATCTCCTCCAAAAATTCCTAGGCTTAACCACTATCTACGTAAATAATAAACCGTGTCCTTTTTGAAACCGTGTCCTACACGGTTTCAAAAAGAAAATCAGTAAATAATAAAATTTAGTTATGTTTATATGAAATTAGCATGAAAACCAGTCATAGAAGTATTGTGGATGTTTTCCATCGTCGTTTCTTTACTCCAAATAACTAATTTGAATAACAAATGCATAGAGTTCCCCCACTTTAACATAGCTTTGACCCATATATATATATATATATATATATAAATAGTTTTTTATTTTTCTTTTTTATAATTTTATTTTACCTACAGTCATTTTGTTTTTCATAGAATGCCTTTGAAACAAATTAAAACAAAAGTAAATTCAAATATTTTTGTCTGTCTTCAGGGATTTCATTTTTTACAAATATATCTTAAATACAGTTTATCTTGGAATGTAGTATTCCTATGGAAATGGGCTTAAATTACATTCAGTAAAATATTCAAATCTTTTAATATCTTTTAATAAATAAATCTTTTAATATTAACATTTTTGAGTTTTGGATTTGAAATTATAATATTTGCTTGTTTTTAAGAGAATACACATCCAATAAAAGTTAAATACAGTAAATACAGGTCTAAAAGTCACTTTTAAGGAAAAAAATTAATCATGAATAGTAACATCCAACTTCTTCAAAGTTGTGTTTTTAAAATAAAATTGTTTTTAAAATAAAATTAAAAATATATATTGGTTAACTGACTTTTTAGCCACACTACATTTTTACAATATATGAAATTTATTTTGTATTTTTGGTTTATTTGGATTCTTGTGGATATATGAGTACTTACATGGGCACTTCTGTAGATATGAATTGCATGCATATAAGTTATCTGCATTCTCAATAATCCATAAGTACCTATTTGAAAATTACAGTTCTTCTACTCATTTACTGAATGTCTGAAGATCAAATAAAATATGACATTAAAATTTCATAAAACAACAAAATTATAAAAATTATTATTAAACATTTACTTTAAATTTAAATATTTAATTTATTCTAGTGTATAAGTAATTCAAACTCAAGAAATTAGTTTAGAATTCTGTTTTAGACTTGCTCTATAAGTTAACAACTAAAATAGGCTAGAACTGTTATGTATATATAGTATACCATATTTCTATCAGTCAAATATCAGATTTCTTCATACTTAAAAAATTGATTTGCACCCTACAATCTACAGTAATTTAATCTAGTTAACTGATTTTATTAATTTAACTTCCTAACACACCGGGTTAAAATTTAAATCTTCTTACTTCAAACCAAATAACTGGAGCAAAAAATGTTTCTATAGTGCTAACGTTTTCGACACCTCTTCAGGCATTTACTTAAATCCGTTGCAAGCTGGTCTTTAAACTTTTGAACTTATTTAGAAGGCATTCGATTTTGTATTCCAAAAGCACACGCATTCCAATTTATTCAAACATTGTATGCTACTATGAGATTCGAAATGTAAACTGTTTTTTAATTTGAAACATTATAAACGTAAATAAAATTAAATATTATCATCCATTAGGACTTGCCATGCCGTAGAAAACGACATTTCCTCCTTAAAATTAATGCATGTGGATTTGCATCCCACCTTAAATATTTCCATTGCCTCCAACAGTTTGAGGTGATCCTGATGCGAGGTGGTGAGGATGATACGTGTTTCGTTAAAGTCAGCTGAAATGTCCGGGTCTGTCACATAAGTCGAAAGTGCTGTTGTGCATTTATTGTGTAGTATGTCTGACTTATGCTCCTTTAATTGTACCGCTAAAGACCTTTTGGTTGAACCAACATATATCATTTCTCTATCAAATCTGCCATCCCTTATTGGGACCTTGTCGATGCCCGGTAATCTGTCCGGATTCAGATGGTCTTTTCCATTCCTTAGTATGCTGTAAATGGACGGGCATCTCTTGTATGCTATATGGATCTCACGTTTCCTGGCAATGGTGTTATATATTGATTTTAAATGCGGGTTATATGTTGTGATTACAGTTGGTTTTCTATATAGTGGTGTATAGAAAACCAACTGCGGTCACAATGTATATTCCAATAGGATCATGTGATCCCCTTTCTTATAAAATAGCACCTTTTAGAGCATTGGTCATGAGAGCGTTCACACACTCTTCCACCACACAGGTGTTAATGCAAGAAATAAAAAATATAGAAGTGATAGCCATTGAACATGGGCACACCAACCTTATATGTAAGTTATGTGAGAGCTACAAACATAAGCAAGAAGTAGAGACTAGTCTGAGAGAAAGACTGAATAGTGGAAAGGAAGATGACAGGATGAGGGTCCCTGTCATGTATAACCCGCATTTAAAATCAATATATAACGCCATTGCCAGGAAACGTGAGATCCATATAGCATACAGGAGATGCCCGTCCATTTACAGCATACTAAGGAATGGAAAAGACCATCTGAATCCGGACAGATTACCGGGCATCGACAAGGTCCCAATAAGGGATGGCAGATTTGATAGAGAAATGATATATGTTGGTTCAACCAAAAGGTCTTTAGCGGTACAATTAAAGGAGCATAAGTCAGACATACTACACAATAAATGCACAACAGCACTTTCGACTTATGTGACAGACCCGGACATTTCAGCTGACTTTAACGAAACACGTATCATCCTCACCACCTCGCATCAGGATCACCTCAAACTGTTGGAGGCAATGGAAATATTTAAGGTGGGATGCAAATCCACATGCATTAATTTTAAGGAGGAAATGTCGTTTTCTACGGCATGGCAAGTCCTAATGGATGATAATATTTAATTTTATTTACGTTTACCATTTCGAATCTCATAGTAGCATACAATGTTTGAATAAATTGGAATGCGTGTGCTTTTGGAATACAAAATCGAATGCCTTCTAAATAAGTTCAAAAGTTTAAAGACCAGCTTGCAACGGATTTAAGTAAATGCCTGAAGAGGTGTCGAAAACATTAGCACTATAGAAACATTTTTTGCTCCAGTTATTTGGTTTGAAGTAAGATTTAAATTTGATTTTATTAAATGAAAACAATTTCAAATGAACTATTTTTAATTTTTGAAGGCTCAACTTTACAGACAAAAAGTTTTAAATTACCTTGTTTAATAATTTAAATTTAATTTTTTAATTATAGGATTATTTTGAAAATGGGAAAAGAACATTCATTTATTATTCATTAATATGTAATCTGTCATTAAGCTGAAAAGTTTGAATTTATTGAAGTACTAATAATTCAGAAATCAAAATAATTGTTAAAAAATGATAAATTATGTAATTAAATTATAATTTTAAAAGATATTTTTAACATTTTATATTTTGGAATATTTAATTTACATTTGCATTCAAATTAAGTGTGTGACAGCTAACATGGAAAATTTTGATAGAAAAGTTTGGAAAGAAAATTGCATTTAAATGTGAAAAATTATAGAAATATTGAACTTTAAAACAAAAAGTCTATAAGAATTGAATCATTGATTTGTTTGAAGGCTTTGATAATATGCTGACATTCTATTCATTAAATGAAAACAATGTATTCAATTTTTTTTTTCTTAACAATAATTATATAATATTACAGGCAGCTTGGTTTGGATCTGGTGCCAAGAGTTAATAGTGAAGTGGTTGATCCAGATGTTTTAAGTCCTGTAGAATTATATCATGTTGTAAGTATATTTGAAGAAATTATTTGTTTAATATATATATATAATGTATATAATAGATTAATAATGTATATATGTATATATTAGTACTGTTGTATGCTAGCCTTCTTGCAATGCAAAATAACATTTCTGTAAGGTGGAATGAGATCAATTTTGTTAAACAAATTTCTTTACAAAATCATAAATACATGAAATGTTCAAAATTTTGTAGTAAAAAAATCAAAGAGAAGTGTATTAAATACAGAGATGTGGAACTTTTGGAAAATGCTTGGAAGTATGTGATTACCAACTTGAAATTACTTAGTAATTTTTTTTTAACTTTTTTTATAGTTTTAATTTTGGATTAATTTTTAATATTTTAAAGTAGTGCATTTTTTTCTGTACATTTTAAAGTAATTGGTAAATTACTTTCATTGAGCATTGTATTTTTTTTTTCTATTTAAATTTGAATTTGAAGCCGGATTATGATTAGTAAAGTTAGCTAAAAACATTAAGATATTAAAGAATTTCCACTGCTTAAAGATGTGTCTCCTAGTAATATATATATATAATATATGTAGTTAGATGAGAAAGTAGGTTTAAAAATCCTGTTATTCAAGATGCTAAACTCCACTGAAATTTAAGCTTTCAGAATTGATATACAGTAGAAGTTCATTAGTATGACACCTAATAGTCTGGAATATTCAATAATTGGTACAATCTGAAAGGCAGCAAATAATTCAGATTTGTTTGATAATCTGTTATGCCAGTATTTTAAGAATCAGAATTTGTTTGTAAACATGGTATTACTAAAGATTCTTGGTGGAACTCAAGGCAAAGGTTTAGCTGTTCAAGTTGCAACATGTTTGGAAGTTGATCATAGAATGAAGAAAAATGACTAATTTTGTTATGCATCTAAAAACAGGTTTCATATATTCAGAGTAAGGATAGCTTTTGTGAACCATGTGTATATAGTTCATGAATCATTGTAAATGTTGATTTTATGAAGTAATGTGTTAATTAATGTTTTTGTAAGTTTCCAATCAATCTTAATACAGTATAATCATAGATAGCATTATCTTCAGATTGATTAAAGAATTTGCATAAACAAATCAGAAGCATAGCAGTGATTATTGATATAAAATGTAATGTATACAGCAATTTATGCAATGTTCAGATTGCATATTATTGAATTTTGTAAAAATACAAAAATGTTCAATAATCTGGCATTTTCAATAATCTGGTACCACTGGTCTCATAGGTGCTGGATTAACAAACTTCTACTATATTCATTATTCATATTTATGATTGGAAACTTATATTCACTCATGTTTATAAAAATTGCAACACCATGAAGGAATCATCAGAAATAAATAAAACTTATTCTGCATGTAACCTGTAGTTATACAAAGAAACAATTACATTTACAGAGCAATCAAACAATATTACCTGCTAAAAATCAGTATTTGGTGAATCCACCACTTGCTGCAATAAAACTTTTACATGTCATGATATCAAATCAAACAGGTTTTGAATGTCTACCTGAGGAATAGCATTCCAGATTTCTTTTGTCTGAACCCAAAGTTCATTCATATTGGCTGTGGGACGAGTATCACCAGTGAGTTTTCAACCCACGAAATCCCAGACATGTTCAAAAGGCTATATGTCTGGTGAATGAGCAGGCCAATAAAGAAGTGATATCTGTTGTGCTGAAAAGTATTCTAGATCAGGGATGGCAAACCTTTTTGTGTTTGCGTGCCATATTGTAAGCATACTTAGCTTTAAAGATGTTTATGCATGCCAAAGTTTCAGACTTCGAATAACGATATTTAAAGAAATTAAATGAATACGCTTTAATTATAATAAATGTAAAAAAGCTGATTGAAAAAAGGATGATCAGATGATAAACTGAAAAGATGATTGAAAAAGACAGAAATTGTATGATACATTACGTGCCAGATGATTTCTCCTTACGTGCATCTCTTTGGGCATGTGTGCCATAGGTTTGCCATCCCTGGTCTAGATCATTCCTAACAACATGTGGACAGGCATTGTTCTGTTGAAATACAGCTCTAGGAATGAATTGAAAGAAGAGTATGACTTCAGGCTCCACAACTTCCCCAATGTAATGGTTGCTATTGAGAGTACTCACAATTCTGTGCCTGATATCCAATAGCACTCTAGACTGTCACGCCTTGCGATTGCCCAGTATGATACTGAATAATGCACCATAGAAGATGGCATTCACCTCTATAGTGTTTAACACATACTTGGCCATTGTTGTATTCTAAATTGATGAGTAATTCATCATAAAAGATGATTAGTTGTCAATCAGCACATCAGTGGCTGTGTTGATGAGCACATTGTAGTTGATGGTTTTGGGTCAGGGAAATGCTGTACAAAGGAATGCAATCCATGATGCAGCAGACATCAATGAATTGTGGATGCAGACAATGGCACACCTGTAGCAGTGCTCCAATTTTGTGCCAACTGTCAAAATAAAGCTGTACAATCTGCAATTGTCATGTGATGAGGTGTGTGTCATCCCATGCTGACGTAACATTTCATCCACTGCCAGATGTGTGACTTGTCTGGTACTCTTTAACCCACTGCTTCCACACTTGCATCACTGTTGTGGCATTACTTCCCATACAATCTGCAATTTTGTGATAAGAAAATTCCCCTTTATGCAGGCCACACATTTGCCCCTGTTCAAACTCTGTAACCTGCTCATATGATGCTCTTTGTTGTTGATGAGGCATAGTGACTTCCCATGAAACATTTACCAGTGGCAGACAACAATACACTACTTCCAACTTTTCACTACTACCCTCTATACAGCTAACATGACTGTTCAGATGGTGCTTCTCAGCTCACTCATGCACTTTTACTCTGATATTCTCATCATTTGCATGTTATACTCTGCTTTTCATTTCCTGTAAGTTTCAGTTTATTTTCATGAGTCTTTCATGGTGGTACAATTTTTACAAACATGAGTGTATATAGAAGGAGCACATTTGTGGGCAGTTCAACATTTGCGTGGAAAAATGACTGTATATGAAATTATATGGTTTGGGAACAGAAAAAATTTTTGTTTACAGAATCAATATGATTTTCTTTATTCTAAAGTTTGACTGCACATGGTGTGGCAAACTTAGATCTTGTTGTGAAAGTTCTATTGTAAAATGTTGGACTTGTTTCAAAATTTGACTGATCTTTCATTGTAGGCTACAATAAAAGTACATCATTAAGAGTTTGTATTCCAGAACATTGAAATGAATAAATTGTGATTCCTTTTCAATAAACTTCAATTGAAATTTAATAGTAATATATTGGGGGGGCGTGTCTAGCTTGCGAAGGTGTTGGTGATTTTTTTGCTGAGCTGTTGTGGCGATGTTAATCATGGAATTTTTACAACAGAATATTAAGTGTAGAACTGAAATAAGTAGTTTAAATGTTTCATTAACTCAAATAATAATTTTTATTCTATTAATGATTGCTGGCATTGAGTTAAATCCCGGACCTTTTCCTCGATCTCCTCCAATACCAAGTCAAGCAGTTATGCAAAAAAGGGGACGAGGGAGACCACGTAGAGAGCATACAAGAAATATAGAAGAAAATACTCAGACAAGCGAAATGTCAGGAGAGGAATACTTAATTGAGGAACATTCCAAGAATACTACTGATATCTCGAAGTATGTTACAATAAAAGACTTTTTCAAACCGGAAGAAGATTTACTAACAAAGACTATTGATAAATATAAAACAGCCACTGCACACCGGGTTGTGTAAAATAAATAAGACCTACTTGAACCTTTAACCGATGTGTATAGAAATTAATCTTTCCAATACGAATGTTTTCTTAACCCATTCTGGGCTCTTCTTCAGTTATAGCTGGATCGAACATCAAACGAAAAAATTCGAATAAATCCGAACGCTGCTGANCTCATATTTGATAATATTTATAACATTAGAAACTTTATTATGATTCAGTAATATAAATTCAATTTGATATATAATGCATAATACAAATGTAATATTTTTGAACATTTTGATGAAAATTGAATGATGAAGAGAGAGAGCATCATAGCAAATAGAGAAGAGATTTTAGAACACTGCTAAATTCAATCAAGATCTCTATAGTTGAAGCAATGAAACAAATCAGCAACCTCTAAATAATAATATTTGGGATATTCTTGCTATAGAAGCAGATGAAGTTACCAAAGCACTGTAAGACATGAAAAATGACAAAGCTTTGATTTCTTTTGAATATTTATAAATTACAAATTTTTACAAACATTACATTTACATTGAAAATATAATGTTTTTAGGTAATTATTTTAAATTTTGCCATATTAGTTTGATCATTTGGTGGAATGTTGAGACTGATTATTTACTTTGAAGCATTTGGTTTTTCGATAAGTTAATAATTAGATACAAAGTAATTTGTCTATAGNATAAATAACTGGTTTAAGTTAATAGAAATGTTTAATATTTTAATAAATTATTATCAATTAACACTTTTGTCAATTATTATTAAAAATATCATCTATTTATTATCAAAAAACTGAGTGAGTTCTTTTTTGAATTATTTGTAACTTATTTTTAAAATCTAGTTGTGACAGTAAAAACAAATCTTAAAAGTGTTATCTGTTTAGCATAATACAGTAAAACCTTGGTTTAATGGACTAATTCAGACAAGGTGGTGTTCATTAAAGTCAAAAGTCCATTGTATAATAAAGTAGTTTTTCCAAATTCATGTGTTAAAAAATTGACAAATTAGTTAGTTTATCTGATTAATTTGTCAATTTTGGAGTAGATTGAAAACATTAGAAAGCTGATAATTTTGATGACTGTGGACTAATTTCAAGATTGTTGGAGATTTTTACTTACTATTAAGTTTATCTAGTTTAAATTTGAAAATTATTTTTAATTCTATTTACTAATTAGGAGCAGTGATGCTTGGATTTGAAAAAATAACCTGTTAATTTAATTACATATGAAAAGAATTATAAAATTAACAT